TTTCCCCCCCCTCCCCCTTCCCTCCCCCCCCCCCCCCCAGTCGGTAGCACTGGCCCTGAAGCCGCACGTGGTGATTGCCACGCCAGGGCGCCTGGTGGATCACCTGGAGAACACCAAGGGCTTCAGCTTGAGGACCGCCAAGTACCTCGTGCTAGACGAGGCGGACAGGATGCTCGGCATGGTGAGCCTCTTGCTCGACCATATCTTTATCACAAACAGGATGCTAGTATATTCTAACAATGGGATAATGATGGGATGGTGTGATGTGTGCGTTGTGGGGAGAACGAGTAGTTGTGAGCAGGCGTCGTGCTGTTCCTGTTTCTGCTGCTGCAGTAGACAGGGGGCAAAGCCCACCTCCATACCACCTCTCAGTCATGATTTTGTTTTTTTGAACAGGACAACGTGAGCTCAGTGCGGTCACACGGCAGTGGGCTACAGTTGGTAGACTCGTAAAACCTTCTGCCTCTTCTGCTGTAAGTTGTGAGGTTCAGAACCTCTCAGGAGCGACAAAATTTCTTCGCCTATAGGGAAAGGGCCCGCAGAATATACCGTTCTAGCGATATCATTCGAAGGCAAGCACCGCGTGGGGCAAAGCCAAAAAAAGAGAAAAAAAAAGAAATCTGCACGAATGTGGTCGTGAATCCGTTCCTTCTGTATTCCCCCGGGTGGTGCGTTCAACACATGCCGAAAGGTGTTGTTTTTGTTGTTGTTGTTGTTGTCTTCACATTGAAAACCGTTCCGGTCTCCGCTCCGTACCTTCTAATTCAATATCCGTACTGGTCCAACGGACGAGGACGGACGCCTCAGAGTAGAAGCAACGAAACACACGCAACCTATCATACACACGCACGCAAGTGACGTTTTCGCTTTTCTTTTTTTCGCGATCAGGACTTCGAAGAGGAGATCAACAAAGTTCTCAGCGTGCTTCCGAGGGAGCGAAGAACGTTCCTGTTCAGCGCCACCATGACGTCCAAGGTGGCCAAGCTGCAGAGGGCCTCTCTCAAGAACCCCGCCAGGGTAAGAGGCTGCTGTTGTCTGGTACACGATAAAACCGTCGTGGTCTCCGCCCGGTAATATCCGTACTGTTCCAACTGACGCGGACGCGGTCCGTGGTCGCAGAAGCAAACTACCTGTATCAAAAAAAGGGGTAAGCCTTTCTGGAAATCAACGAACCGAATCAGAAAATACACCCAGGGAAATCGTCCAAACGCGATACTAGCAGATCACAAGATGAGCAAGCCTGGAGACGAGCGAACCCGGGAAGAAAAATACCGACGGAGCAATCAAAGTCACCGTGGTCAACAGGGCGGTGATAATGGCCGTGTTCCTGCAATAGAGAGCAAGGAGCGAACGCGTGACGGATAAGCTCGTGATTTAATAAGTTGCGACGAGCGAGTTCTATTATATAGTCCAATACAGGGCCTAAATAGAATAGTTGCAAGTAAAGGGAGAGGTACGTATGGCGCACTGCGAGCCTTGTGGTTTTGGCAGCCGCTAAAGCATGTGCTCGTTGCTATTTCCACAAAAAAAACACACACACACACACACACACACAGGTGGAAGTCGCCAACAAGTTCTCGACTCCGAAGACCCTGGTTCAGCAGTACCTCTTCATCCCGGCCAAGCACAAGGACTGCTATCTCGCCTACGTGCTCAACGAGTTCGCGGGGCAGAGCACGATCGTGTTCGTGTCCACGTGCAACAACGCTCAGGTATGCAGCCTTTCGTCATCATGAGCGGCATCAACGTCGAGTCGTCCGATTTTGTTTTTGTGTCGATGGGAGGGTCTGGCGACTGCTGTACTGCATGCACCCCGGGCGCTCGGCAAAATGAACACCCCGACCCCCCCCCTCCCCCTTCGATTCCCCTGGGCCCCCTCTCTGTCCCGAAAGGGATTGGAGTCAAGTAGTACAACCATGACTGAAGGCAAGCAACAAATGGGCACGACCCCTCCCCCCTCCCTCACACTGCCGCCTGCTAGAGCGCAAAGAAAGGTCTCGAGGTTTTTCCAACTCCCCACAGCCGTTTGTGAGTTCAACCTCCTGCCCCCCCCCCCCACCCCGCCCTCACTCCGCGCAACGGGGGATGATCGCACCACGTTGTGTTAATATTGGTCAAGCACCCTCGAGGCAGTTACACAGTGCTTACAACTGTCTCTGGAAGTGAAAGCACCAGAAAATAAATTAAGTCATACGTAGCTGTCATCCGTACGCAAGGAAGTAAGCACAAGATGCCGAACACCCTTGGCAGGATGCAGTTCACCCTTCATGCGACTCGCCAAATATCTCACGGTGCTTCGCGCTTGGTGATGTGAGAGCCTGGTCCGGTGAGAACCCGGCGTGCTCCGTCCCGGCTTTGTAGGGATGCGAGGTCAATGGTCTAATGACTACGGCATGCACGACTATGAGTACACCCCCCCCCACCCCGCCCCCCTCTTGATCTTTTCCCCAAGCGCGTGGCCCTGCTTCTGCGGAATCTGGGCTTCCAAGCGGTTTGTCTGCACGGGCAGATGGGGCAGCCGAAGAGGCTGGGGGCGCTGGGAAAGTTCAAGTCGGGGCAGAGGAACGTCCTCATCGCGACGGATGTAGCCAGCCGCGGGCTCGACATACCCTCGGTGAGCAAGGAGCGGGGGGGGGGGAGGGGTAATGGTACTCATTTAAGCCCCTATACCCTAATCCTTAAACCCATTTACC